CTCTGTTGTGGGCAATGCAGTCAATAGTCAGTGGAGCCTGAAGAGCAATTCTTATCATAAGAATATACGCTGTTTGGATAGCTGAGCAGCTCTCTGGACTCCCTTGGCTTCTTCAATGACTGACAACTGTGTGAATACTACTGTATTTAATTAATAATGTAATTATTTAATTTTGACTGAATACTCCAAACCTTCTATTTTAAGCTGAGCCTTCTTGTCTTTTTATTTGGTCAGAAGAGAGAGAACAGACATCTTTTGAGGGTAATTTTCTCTGCCAGCTTTAAGCATTTGATTTAAAACATGGAGTGAGAACTTAATACTGCCAAGATCTGTGCGTGCTCTACCATACTCTGTAGGTGTCTATATAGTTAAAACCTGGGATTGTTGTCTACTTACTGTTATCAATTACAAGTTAAGATAGAATGTCTCTTAATTAACTTTATAACCTGGTAGGTACGTTTAGACACAGCTAATTAGAGCTTTTCTGTAATTGGGGCTATGATTAATAGACTATGAAGACTGTTTAATTTGTATTAAGTGCATGGACAGTTGCAGGGAAATTGCATTTTGAGGCTACATTGAATAACAAGTAGAGGACCTCAGGACAGCACAACAGTGAACAATTATTCTCTTTATAAAGAATTAATATATTCAGTCACTAGTTATGTCTTGACATACAGGTGTTTTTTCTCTGTAGTTCACTCCTGTGACACATTCCTGCTCTACTCCTCCCTCCCCAGGATTCACACTATTATTAATATGTGCATGAATCTCTGTTTTGGAAATATTGATAACTTTTTAAAATAGTCTAGCAGTGTAGTTTACTAAAATTAATGAGCATTATACTGGAGCTTATTTCACCTTTCTGCCCCCCTTCTTTTTTTTCTTTCNNNCCCCCCCCCCCCCCCGGGTGCATTCTGTTTGGTACAGAACCTAACTTGGAAACTTGGAGCAATTTTCAGTGAGAAAGCAGCAGAAATGAACTTAAAGATTATTAAGTCCAACCTCAACCTAACGGTTGGACTAGATGATCTTACAGGTCATTTCCAACCTTGTGATTCTATGATTCTAACCATACTACCCTAACTCTAACAACCCTCTGCTAAATCATGTCCCTGAGCACCACATCCAAACGGTTTTTAAACACATCCAGGGATGGTGACTCAACCACCTCCCTGGGGAGCCTATTCCAGTGCTTAACAACCCTTTCTGTCAAGAAGATATATCCTTATATCCAACCTAAACTTACCCTGGTGCAACTCGAGGCCATTTCCCCTTGTCCTGTCACCAGTGAGAAGAGACCAACCCCACTCTCGCTGTCAGCATCTTTCAGATATTGGAAGAGAGCAATAAGGTCTCCCCTCAGCCTCCTTTTCCCCACACTGAACAGCCCCAGTTCCTTCAGTCTCTCCTCGTAGGGCATATTCTCTAAGCCCTTCACAAACCTTGTTGGGGGTCTGTAGTAGTCTTGCAAGTTCACTTTCACCTCTTTTCTGTGCATCTCTCATGAGTGCAAAGGGAATTAATACATACTGACCTTTGGACATGCTTCTTCACCTGTTACACAGCTGGAGGGGGAAGTCTGAGAGACTGCCATCGATAGAGAGGGCAAAAGGACATAGGAAAGGACACTGAGTGAGAAGTTGTAGCAGTGGAAATAAGAGGAAAAGATGATGTGTGATGAGTTCATCTGGCATCCTGGAGACACAGTCTGTCATGACTTTTTATTCACTATCATGAAGATACAGTGTACAGGGAGAGACATACTATAAAGACAGGCAACACTTTTGTTTTTTGAATTAGGTGGAATTGGGGAAAAAAGGCAAAAAAACATAATATTTTTAGAGGCATGTAAACATTTTGCAGTGCTTTTTTCATGCATAGTCAAAACTTCTCTCTTGAATTTTTCATAAGAAATGAATCCCAGCTTTAGTTATCTTGTGCCATTTTTATTCTACTGTTAGTGCAGAGGTGGCTTCATTGAGAATAGTTGGCCTGTTTTCTTTTTTCTTTTTTTTTTTTGTGAAAACTTCTCTACTTAACATACTGTTAGTCAGATCAGACTGCTGCTATCCAGAAAGGAGTTTTATTTTTGTAACTTGTACACTTCAGTTTTTCATTTAATACCTTTGCCATCTCTGACATTGTTTTTGAACTATTTCAGACTTGTAAGGGTATATTTAGAGTACTATGGAGTACATTTATTCTGCTGTCTATTAGGCTGTTGTTTGAGCAACAAATGAGAGCATCAAGTGAGCTTCAGATAGTTTCTCTTCTAATAAGGAATGATACTATAGTGAGAATGTCTTTACTGTAGGCATTCCTTAACTATAGTATACACTTAACTGGAGAAAAAACAGGGTTTTTACCTAAAACGTGAGTGGAGTGCCAAGTACAGTTATCGGCTTTGTGAAGTTTTTGCTTTCCCTCCCTGCTGTGTCTTAACTAAACAACCAAAGACAGGCGAATAACCTATTTCCTGTTAACTGCCTACTTGCTAGGGATGACAAGAGTCTCATCTTTACAGTTGTCATGGGCATCAGCAGCATAGGTTGGAGCCTGGGTGAGTGGAGGTAGGTGCTTTGACACCACATAAAGTAGTGGCAATGTTTTGGAATTGTGTACTAATTTCATTTTATGAAAATTCCTCATAAAGAAAAAAGTTTTTTTTCCTTCATGTGTACAATATTGGCTCAACTAATTTGAGACTCCAGCTAGATAAAAATAACCTCTACCTAAAGGTCTTTTAATCTTACCGAGTTTGCTGTCACAGAATGGCACTGATTAGCTGATGATGCTTGGGACAGCACTGATCTGTAGATCACTGAGGTCCCTTTTTCAATATAACAGTGAATAAAAAACTGGTCCTGAGTTGTAGCTGATGTCATATCACCTTTCTGTGCAACTGTGTTTTTCATTGTTATATCTCAGTTTTAATTTATTAAAACTGTTTGTTTTTTTTTTTTAAAGACCTATTTTTTTTCCCTGTAAAAAGTAGATTACTGATAGCAACAATCAAGTAGCATTGGTCATACTTTGATGTGTAGATCTCCTCTTATTATCTTTTCTCAAGCTGTATTTAATTTTGTAGTGTATTACCAACACCCATACATCTCTAAACAAAATTAGTAGTATCAATGCATGTCTCTCAGTTCTTATCTAGTTTTTATTAGTCTACAACAGAAAAATTTAATTTTTCAGACCATAATTCAAATAAATGATTTAATTTGCATCTTAGAGGTTACAGATTGATACTTTTTCTTTGGTAATAGAATCCTCTGCACTTGAATTCCTACTGCTGTAGTGGTCCATTACAAGCACAAAATTGCATCTTTCCACTTGTCACTAATTTTGCATTTTGACAGGGAAAAAAAGAAGGTTTGCTGTTCCTGTTGCTAAGCAACAAAAAGATGAATTATTCCAACTTCTGGATTTTTTTTGTATGATGTGTGTCAGAAGGATTTTCCTGTGTTGGCGAAAGATAGTCTAGATGGGTTTGTACATTTTTGTTCCCTGTGTACGGTTGTTGTAATTCACACTGTTTTGTTTTCTGAAGCTTAATTTCTCTTTCTGAAATGGTAAGCTTGTTTCTCTTTCATTTTTCACTTGCACCTAATTTTTATATCATTACTTGAATAAAAAGAACAGAAAGCATTGTAAGACAATAAGTTATATTCCAAGTATTGCATACTATTATTTTATTTACAAGTGAATAGAATAATATAGTCCAGTTGGAAGTGACTTACAGAGGTTATTGAGTCCAACTACCTGATCACTTAGGGGCTAATGAAACGCTAAAGTACATTATTAAGGTATTATCCAAATAACCTCTTGAAGACTAGTAGGCATTTTTGTTACAGTCATTCTAAACTGTCTTCTTCCAACACAGCTGATTTTAATACCAAGTAACTACTGATATTTAAAGAAAAGTATTCATCAAATGATGTGTGAAAACGATAGAGACTTAAGCGTATGGAAGTTCTGGTAAGATTTGTGCTTATGGGTGGATTAGAGAATCAGAATGATTTTGAGTTGGGAGGAATCATTGAAGATAATCTAGTCTTTGAATAGGATAACCTTTCACAAGATTGGGTTTCTCTAAGCCCCATCCAACTCAACTTTAAACTCTTTGAATGATGGAGCATCCACAGCTTCTTTGGACAAGCTATTGCAGCTTTGTAATGCTCTTAGTAACTTGATTGTTTTGTTCTTAATAGCCTGATTTTTATTTTTATTTTTGTCCTAGTTTTATTGTAGGTTGATGTAATATTTTGGCTCACACTAGTAATTGATTTCCACTCAAGATACACGCCAACACAGTATCACATCTTCTTCTAAATTCCTTATCTGTGTAAGAAGCCAGGAAAGATCTTGAGCAATAAGAAGGAGACTGCTTCTCTTTGTGCAATGATTTGAGGCCACTGTGTACAGCAACAATAAGAAAGTGTCGATAAATGAGATTGGATTTTCTATCCATGTCTGCGAAAGTGTAGTAACATAATTGCTTGTGTCTATGCAATATAGTTTTGTGGACTTTGAAAAATAGCTTTCTGTGTTTGTATGGACCTTGGAGTTCACTTACGAATGCATAGTCAGTGTTCCATGTCTGGTAGGCCAGCTTTCCTAATGTACTGACTTCCATGCAGAACAAACGTGGGTATGTGGTCAGAGAAGAGCTACTCACTGCTCTGAAATGGTGCATGCTCTGAAAGCCTGGGAGAACAGCACTCAGGTTGTTCTGGGTAAATTCGATCATGTAGCAGGAGTCAGGTTAATTTGTGTAAATTATATAAAATAAATAGTGATAAAAGATGGAGATAATTTCAGATGTTAACACTTCTTTGGGCAAATACTATTATTAGTTTGAAGACCGGTGTTTCCAGTTGTTTGTTTAAAAGCTGAAAAGAAGCTTTTCATTAATGGTTCTTTATGTCGCTAAGTACAAGATTAAGTACAATATTCCTCTAATTTTTTTATTGTTTTCTCTAAATTTTCTAAAGGAGTTGATGACCAAGCTGATAACAGAGACGCCTGACCAGCCAATTCCATTTTTAATTGATCATCTTCAGTCTAAACAAGGGAACCGTGGTCAGCTTCAGAGAACACTGTCTGGCTCTGCCGCCCTTTGGGCAGAGAGTGAAGCATCAGGTATGTTCTGTAAGATGGGAAGGGCTACACTAATATCTTCCCACAGTTTTTGTGGGTTGTTTCTTGAATGCTCATGTATTTACTGTGGAAGTGCTACTCTGTGGTTTTGAGCATACAAATCCTGTTTGTCCACTAGAAACTGAATTTAATGTGCATAGACTGAGCTAATATCACCATAGAATGAATCATAGAATGTCATGGGTTGGAAGGGACCTTAACAAACATCCAGTTCCAAACCCAATAGATCAGGTTCATCCAAGCTAGCCTTGAATGCTTCTATTCTAGTTTAAAACCATTCCTCATTGTCCTATCACTATCTACCTGTATAAAAACTCAGTCTCCATCTTGTTTATAACCTCTTTTTTAATACTGAGAGATGTTGGGTTTTGTTGGATTTTTTTTTTTGGTTGTTTGTTTTGTTTTACTACAGTCATTTTTAACAAGCCATCATTCTAACATTTAATATGCTATTACAACTTTGTAACCTCCACTGCAGATAATTTCTGATTGTAGATTTTAAAAAAATAATAATAATAATTTGTGATTCCAAAGCATTTCTAAGAATGTTAGTTTTGCATGTAAAAATTGACTGATGTCTGTTTCAGACTATAAATGATCTCTAGCAGTTATTTGTAGTCAACTGCCTGACAAATTAACTGTTTATATCTTTTTTTTAACATTTTAGACAGAGACTGTTAAATGTTATGATAGAGAGGTTAATGACCTCTTCACTTAAAAAAAAAAAAAAAAAGAGAAAAGTGTTTCAAAATAAAAGGACATTAAGGAATTTCTCAGTTTTAGTGTTTAGGAAAACAAAAAAATATATGAAATTTAGCAAAAATCAGGAAAAGTAGTGCTAAAAGAGCTGTCTGTGATTTCCATTGATAAGACTGGGAATTTCTGAATTAATTGTTTATGACGTCTTTTGAAAAATGACCCTGTGAAGATTATAATTGCTGGATTTTATTCTTCAAACAGAAAATAAAGGAACAAGGAGAGATTTCAGAAGTTATGATAAGCCTTGGCAGGTAAATGCAAAGAAGCCTAAAAAGTCAAAGAGTGACCTTGCCGTGTCCAATATCTCTCCACCGTCACCGGAGTCCAAGTCATGTAAGGTTCACTACATTATAAGCTTGTGCACATTTCTAAACCCATAGTCTGAGTTTCATCCTATTAGGTTTTTGTTTTCATTAGTTTTAGGAAGAAAAGCAAACTGTGAGCAGTTGAAATGACTAGGGAGACATATTAGAGTTTGAAAAAAATCTTGCTTCACTTTCACATGCGTTATGAATTTATGATTATATCCTATATTTTCACCTAGCTTCAAAATTATATTTTATTGTAGCTTTTTATGGTTTTTTATTTATAATGTCCAAAACTTTTAAATATCTTTGAGTTTAATGAAGTGTCCCAGATGATAAATGTATTTAGTAATAGAAAGCTTGCTGGTTTTCCTCTGAAGAGCAAGATGCGGAAGTCCGGATTTCAGTGGGCTTAATGGAAAATATCCTAGTGGCCACAGAATGTCAAAATCAAAGGTAAACAGATATTCAAGAAGTGGACAGTCACTCACAGTCTTCAGTCTTTGCAGGGTAACAACAGTTTATAGAAGCAATTGCCAAGAGTGTACTTCTGTCATTTTTTAAAATTACCCCTGCATATATATCTGTGTGACTTTTTAAATATGTTAAGCACATCATTAGTTTTCTTGTGCATTTGAACTACATCTTAAGTGCTATGGTGGAGGGTAGTTTCAGCAATGTGCCTTCTTGAGATATCTTGCTTCTCTTATTTTCTGCCAACAAATTAATACTGACCTTTTTTTCTGGGTTTATGCCAAAATCAGTGAGCACCGTGTGCTCCTTCAACCACTCGGATCAGTGGAAAGCAAGCATGTTCATCAGCAGTTCATTATTCTGTCCAGACTTCCCACCTGCTACGTGCCTTCAACTTGTAACTTAAGACATTTTTGGTGTCATTGTAAGTTGTTTTTTGTTTTTTGTTTTTTTTTTCCAAAAGCCTCTTCAAAAAGGTAGTAAGGACTTTAATTAATAAATAATATGGGGGCCTATTGAAAGCTAAAGATTTACTTTCAGATTTGTGTAAAATAACAGAAAACCCCACAGTCATCTCCTCACTTTCCCTACAAGAACACACCTTACAACATACCTTCCCCTCCCCAAATAAAATCAACCCAAAATCAAATGGAATCCATCATTTGTAAGATATTCTGTTTCAGAACTTTTGTCTAAGGACTGTCTTTTTCAGATGATCTAGAACTTTTAACTTGATGAAATGATAGAGTCACAGAATGACTTGGATTGAAAGAGACCTTAAAGACTGTCTAGTTCCAACACCCTGTCATAGGCAGGCTTCCCAGCCTCTAGATGAGGCTATCCAGAGCCCCATCCAGCCTGGCTTTGAACACCTCTAACGGTGGGGTATTCACAGCTTCTCTGGGCAGCCTGTTCCAGTATCTTACCACTGTTGAGTAAAAAATTTTCTTCTAATATATAGTCTAAATCTACCCATTTTATTTTAAAACTGTATGCCCGTTGTCCTATCGCTATCTGTCCATGTGAAAAGTTGGTCTCCCTTCTGTTTATAAGCTCCCTTTTAATACTGGAAGGCTACAATGAGATCTCCCTAGGGGCCTTCTCTTCCCCAGACAAAATAAGCCCAGCTCTCTCAGCCTCCTTTCATAGGAGAGGTGCTCCAGCCCTCTCATCATCTTCATGGCCCTCCTTTTAACCTGCTCCAGAAGCCCACATCTTTCTTGTGCCCGGGCCCCATGCCAGGACTCAGTATTCCAACTGGAGCCTTATGAGAACAGAGTAGAGGGGGATATTCACCTCTCTTGCCTCTTTTGATGCAACCCAGGATATAGTTGTCCTTCCACGCTGCAAATGTACTGAGGGTGCAGTTCATGTTAATCTTTGGAAGCATCGGGAGATTATATTTAGTTAATTAGAGAATTTCTTTCTGCAAAGCTGATGTTGAATTCATAGTTCCCATTATTCTTGCACAGATCTCTCTTTCTTAAGCTTTCAACTTTCTTTTTTACTAGAGAGATTCTTCCAGTTTTTGCTGGCTGTTAACGATCTCTGTCATACCTGAAACAAACACACAGATGGGAAACTGTGGTGCCATAATGATCTGAGTACTTGTTTGCAGAAATATACCTAGGCTTCTTTTGTTGTCTGGCAAGGGAAGAGGTTTAAGCTAGGCCTCTGTGTGTGTGTGCGCATGCGTGCCTGTTCAATGAAATATCTGGATGATCACATCCTGTATTTGAAGAATAATCAATTTTGAAGTTTCTAAGTAGTTTGTGAAACAGACTTCTTGCTATCCGGTTAGCTGCTATTAGGCAAAGTAGGTTGACGTCTTTGCCAGCTTCGTATTAAATCAGTTCACGAGTCATTCTTTCCCTCTACTTCAGTTCACTGTTCTCTTTCCAGGTTTCTGTTGGTGTTATATACTTCTAATCACTGATTTTCTGTCTAGTACTACAAACCTTCATGCACTTAGCCTTCTAGTATCCAGATACTGTAAAAGCTGTAATCTGAAAGATCTTGTGAGATTTCAATACCTCAGCAATTTTATGTTCAATAATATCTGCATTTTTGTTCTTTGGGATATTAGAATAGTATACAGTGTGTTAATGAAATGTAGCTCCTAGTCTAGGAAGGGCTTTTCTCCTTTAATGAGCAGTTGTGTGCATGAATGTGTGGCCTGGTGCCTCTTGATAGGTGTAACTCTCCCCTGCTGCTGGAGGATTTAATGAACAACTAGTCTAATTTCATCTGCAAATTATGTTTTGAAAATACAAGTATATGTAGGTAAAAACAGTACTGAAACAATACTGATGATCTACTACAATGAAATGGTCAGCTGATATGACAGAACTTTTAACAAATTTAGAAATGAATCTGTTATTGATGTGCATTTGTTGGGGGATTTGTATCTGGGGAGGAGGTGAGTGGAGGACAACACCAGAGAAGCAGAAATACAGGGAAGCATGTTTTTGCTGTCTCCTAAGAGGAGATGGGAAAAGGGAAAAAGAAAGGGAAAAGGTAAATATTTCTACACACATGCTATGAGTAGATGTCATAGATCTTCTACACAATAATCAAATAATCTCAAGAGTAAGTATATAAATGTCTCAAGGCAAATGAGTTGAGGCAGATAATGTGATTAACAATTTAAAGTTACTGACATGAATTTGAGGAATTAGTAAGGAAGAAAGTTGGAATGTAGTGAGTGGATTTTGATAAATGTGAAATGAGATACATATGAAATGAAATATGGTGAACTTTGTAGAGGAAAAGATGCATTTCAAAAGATCTCAGGGAAGGGTCATTATAGTGTTTATGTGGTTCTGCATGCTTCATGTAAAGCCATCTGCATTGAAAAGGCTGGATCATGTTGTTGGGATGGTACAAGTTCACATTTTCAAAGCATTTATAAGTTAACAGAACATGAGCCTTGAAAGGAGAGACACTTGTCACGTGAAGTAACAAAGGAGTTTTTAATTTTTGTATTCAATCATTTCTTGGATGAGTAAGTAGGTAAAAAGAACTAAGTCTTCTAGAAGTAATAGAAATTCTTAATTCTGCATGTCGTCTTCTTCAGTTTTGTCTTAAAGTAAGTTACTGAAACAGAAGTGTTCCATAACGTGTCTGTTTTGGATACATTTTCACTGAAGTACTGTCAGTGGTTCATTAATATACAGACTAACATACATGTGCTAACTAACAGAGAAAATTTCTGCCAAGCTTTTGACTGCTTTTCCAGTATCCATCTAGTGAGATATAAACACAAGAATCTGTGACTGTTTTGTAAGACATTTCCCTGAAACTAGAGACCAGACTAAACTAGGAACTGATTCACTCCTTCCAAGGCAAAAGTCTTGAAACTCTCACGTTCCTGATAGAGGTCAGTCCACATACCAAACGACTGCTGATCCTTGGAAGCTTCACAGCTGTTGAGTGGAAATGGTGTTTGTTTCTTTCAGCACCTCTCGTGGGTCTCATGACAGATTTTATTTGGAAATTATATTGTTTCTCACAGAATTCTGCCCTTACGGATTTTGAAAAATATGATTGGTTTGAAAATGACATGATTGCATATTCCAACCTGTTGCAGTTTTATGCAGCCTGGAAGCTCTAAGCCTTGGATATCTTTGTTCATGGTTTTACAATATGAAATTGTTGTATTTTGGTGGTAATGTGGGGTTTTTGTGCTACGGTGAGTTTGTTGTAGCGTTGTAAATGGAAAGAAAAATCTGTCAATCTGGCAGTAGGTTAGTGAGTGATGCTATAGAATAAGTTGTTGATACAGTGAAGGGTGATTGAAAAAGCAGGCAATTAAAGCGCATAGGATCTCAGTGTGAACCTAAGGAGTAAAAATGGAGATAACTTGTAGAATTTCTGTGAAAGTTTACTAGATGTTTGTATTTGGTGTTAACAGAACTACAGAAAATTTAGAAAAAATACTAGAAGTAACATTTTGTTTTCTGCAAAATAAAGAAAAATGAGAAACACTGAAATTGTGCTACTTAGTTGAAGTTATTTATGAATAGAGGAAAATTTTGATCGCACAAAAATTTACACGAATTCTAATTTGCATGGTCCCTTCTAAAACAGGAAGTAAAGAATTAGCTTTTAAAAGTGGTAACAAAAACTGTAAGCTGTCCATCTGACAGGCCTAATACAGTAAGGCCTCTATTTGTTACTAGAAATGACCACAGTTCATTAATTCCTTTTCTCAGAATTCCTTTTCACAAAAGAGAATGGGGCTGACATTTTTCACTCCAACTTTCCACTCTCTTCCTTTCTCCTTCTTGAGACTTCCTGTGTTTCTTTCCTACTAGTCTGTTTTTTCTGTGTCCTTTTTAATGTCTTCTCTCTTTGAGAATGTCTGTAATTGCAGTCTAATATATTAGTATCTGTAAGACTTAACCAGGTTCCTGAGTGGGAGTTACAGAGAATAAACCCTGGATTTTCAGACTCTATTTAGATGTCCAGTTTATAGATAATTTCATGTATGCCTATGGGAGATAGAATCATATTTAAAGAAAAAAAAAATATTTTTGTGACATCTGGGGGACATTGTGCCATTTCCTTACCTGGCATTTGACTTAACCTCAACTTTACCTTGTGGAGTTGATCCAGGGTGGAGCACATTCTGTATACATCCAGAGAGCGTTTAGCACTAAGGCAAATTTGAATGGCATCAGTTATTTAAAACATTTTGTACTAGCTACCAAAGCTTAAAGTCTGACATAAATTTCCCCATACCATTATAAAAACACTTTGAAATTGCAGATGATCATGAGATACCTCTGGTGTTTGTTTTTTTTTTTTCCACACAGTCTTTAGGAGTCTGCAAGTTTTCTTTGTAGTGTTTAATGAAAATGATGTTTGTAATCATAAATTAGTCAACAGCTATCAAAATTGAAAATTAATATTTCAGAGCTGGCCAGCAGGCAGTGAATGTGTCTTTGTACGCTCTGTTTTTGAAGTTATTCTTAGGGGAGTAGTAATCAACCACTGATAAATGCAGCTGGTTCTTTCTGTTGCGAATGTGAACTAAACATAATCATCTTCACAGCAGTGTGTGTGCTTCTCAGCATGGCAATGCTGTGTTTGGAAACAACCCGACAATTGCTTTTAGTTCAGAAGTTGGTAGATTCAGAGACGTTATTTTCATTCTCATTTCTAAAAGTTGTTCAGAATGTTCACATTCATTGATGCGGCGTTAACTACTGTGAGTCCTAAATGCCTCAGAAACTCCTCTTTATTTCTGCGTTTGGACATGAGGTTAGCTCAGCAGCTGAAAAACTTATTTTGAATTTTAGTCAAAGGTTTCAGTAGTAAGTAACGTGTAGAAAACTGAATTTTGGACTGAATTTCCCAAACACTAAGTTTGTTTTCTGTAAGTATCAGAATTTTTATTATTTTTTAATTGTTAGCATTAATTATTGCCGATTGCCAATTAATTCAGTCATAGTCATCCAGAGTATGTATTTGCTCACAGATGTTTTCATTTTAATTTCACATTGACCAAAGAAAATATTTCCAGCTGTTAAATAAGAAGATAATTAAACAATTTCCACTCAAGATTCTTGAGCTTGTAAACACATTGTACAGCTATTTTTTTCTCCTGTAGGAGTCTGAACTACCAAATCTAAACTTCGTGTATATATCTGTGTATATTTAGTGCCAAGGTCAATAGAGCATCCTAAGTGGGATTGGAGGACAAAACCGGAGAACCATGATTTTGATGAGCTAAATCATATTCTTCAAGAGAGCAAAAAACTTGGAAAAGCCCTTGAGAATCTTTCTCGCAGTAAGTTGATTGATTTTAGTTTTTTAATGTAACCATGCAGCCTGAATTGTAATCTGGAAGTATCTATCAAGAAGGTGATCTCCTATCCAATTAAGAGTAAGTTCACTCACATTTGCAGTTGGATTCTGGTTGAGGAGGTTTGCAGAATGTCTCAGGCAATTTAGCAGCTTTCCTACTTCCTGAAACTACTTCCCCTTCACCTTTTTTTTTTTGGTTGTTTCTGCATTTAATTTCTGCCAGCTTAGTGAGTTGAACTAGCTCTAAAGAGAGAAAACACAAGAACCTGTTTCAAGGAAAATGGTAGGAACGTGGAGCAGTGAGATGCTACTCCTGTAGAGGCTAACAGATGGGTTAACCATTCGTGAGACCTTAATCACATTGGAGATGGAGATCAGACCTGTTATTGAAAAACAGTGTTTCACGGCCTTGATCCTGATTAATTCCTTAAAATTTTCAGAAGCATTTCAGGTAGTTTAAATAAATACTCAGAAACTTGGTAACCTATTACTTCATAAATGAGAACCACAAGGATTATCTCTTAAGAGACATAGTGAAACAGAAGCAATGTTTACAAATAGCATGCTCATAGAAGGAATAGCTCTGAAATAAGATACTAGATTGAAGTTCTGTGATGGAAGCAAGCACTACTAGCAATTATCAAAGTGTGAAATGCACTCCGCTAAGGTGCATGAGTACTATGTATGATGTGATCTGGGAGCTACGATCTGGGAGACATTTGAATGATAACTATTTAGCTGCTTCTTTCATTAAATTTTATCCCTGTCACTTCTTGATTCAGTGAAGAAATTGCAGATGATGTCAGAAGAAGAGATGAATGAAAAATAGAAAATCTGTCTTGTGGATAATTTTGAGATTTTTTTTTTCCTATTTTGGGTCAAAAGCTAAAACTAGTTTGCCCAAATACTCTCTCCCCCTAGTGCTTTAGGTTGATCACATGAATTATAGTCTGAGAATTTTTCCTAATTATATTAACTGGAATAGTATTGTAATAGGACTCTTCATATACATTTCCCATTAGCTAGGCTCTCTGCATTTTCTCCTCTAAGGAGCTGAAACTCTTTCTGACTTGGTCTCTGATTTGCAGCCCCACCATTGCTTGACAGTATTACTGTGATGTGTCTGCCGATTTCAACCCTTTATCCTTATAACCAGGAAGAACACAGATAAAGCAGATTCAGAAATAACTTGTTTTCAGTTTCATAGAGGGTTATTTATTTACTGTCCAGAGATGCAATGTGATCAGAGATGAGAACTCAGTAATAAAATATAAATCAGTCTCAGTCCTACATCTTTTGTCTTTCCTTCTGAGTGTTGTGTAGCTTCTAATAAACTTCTGCTTTCTCATATCTAACATACAGTAAGCAGCATTCTGTGCCTCTTTTTTTCCCAAAGAGTTTTCTAACACGAGTTGTTTAATGCTGCAGTTCTTCAGAGTCCTGCTTGGGCTAGAGGTGAATATACCTGGTTAATATTGTTGGAATCAGGTTTTTGTAGTTATTTCACAGAAGACACATTCTTCATTAATTCTTGCTAGTACTTGATGTTTTCTGATGATTTGCCAAGGTAATGCAGACTTTTACCTCCCAGAGAGCTTTAATTCACTTTCAGCCTGATGTAACGTTCACTTTCATGAATGTGCTTTCTGTTTCTTCATCCAGATCATTACTGGAAATATTTTCAGACTTCTTCATGATTCCATTTCAGATCTGACAACCAGCCCTTGAAAGCTACTCAGTAAGTGCATTTTTTCCCACCAGATGTTTATCTACCTAGCAGTGATTACACCTAGAATGTAATTCTATGATTTGACTATCATCTAGGATAGCAAAAAAGTCTTATAATAGCTTAAGTATTTTACTACTTCTTCCTCTTATCCACTAGGCAAGTTTCCAAGTTGAGAAAGCACTTAGATTGATTTGACATGACTTGTTCCTGATTAATTCATGTCAGCTGGTTCTTATCACCTTCCCTGTCCATTAGAGGTCCATAAACTGTTTATTTAACAATTTTGTCAAATATTTTTGCTTCTGTCACTTGTAGGCTGGCTGGCTAGTAATTCCTCTTGTCTTTCCTTTTTGTTTCCTCAATAAAGATGTGGTATTTTCTCTTTCCTGCCCTCGATTCCTAAAAGACAGTTGCTAATAGTTCTGGGATTTCTTTAGCTAGTTTGGTAGGTACTCTAGCATGAATATCACAAGATTCTGCCAACTTGAATGTATCTGAACTACCAAAGTATCTTTCAGCTTTCCCTCATCTGGCCTGTAATTCACCCATCTTAGAATCACTACCGTTAGGAACCTGTGACTATGATCTTTTTTTGTAAGGATCAAAGCAGTGGAAGTATTAAATATTGAGGTTTCTTTGTATCATCCATTATTTGTTTCCCTTATCTTTGATGTAGTAGTTCTGCATTTTACTTTGTCCTCCTCTCCTGATGTATCTATAGTACCTTTTCTTGTGAATTTATTTTTGTTCTTTGATAGTTGTTATTCATTTTCACTTTAGGCTTTTTGGCTGTATCATTTAAACACTTGTGTCAACTATATGTCCTGTTTCCAATATCTGTGCTTCTCGTTTTCACGTCATTTCAGGAAATAACTCTGCTCTGTGATGTGATTTCTTCCATATTAGGATGATACAAAATAAAAATTCAAAATGAAATATATGAAATTTTTGGAAAAAAAGAAGAGGTATAATTTTAAAAATGAATTTGATCTTATGGTTTCTGTGAGGGGAACTGACATTACATTCAGCAAATATCTTCAATGAAGAGACATATCTAGAGCATTAAAAGTTAAAGACGTGAAACTCATCCTGTTTTGGGCTCAATTATCCCTTATGGTGAATTTTGTAAAAGCTGGGAGAGGTTCCTACAGCTATATTCTTCAGTGTTACTGCTTGTTTTGCGCATGCTACTCAGTGCTTTCGATTGTTACAGACGTCCATAAAGTCTGTAAATCTAATGCTACATTTGATACTAACCTTGTTTCCAAGCAGCATTTGGCAGGCAGTGGAGAGGGCTCAATAAATTACAAGTGTGCAAATGGATCACAGCATACTATCAATGGCTTTTTACAACACATTTAATTCCTCAGTACTTTTAACAGGGAAAAGCGCCATATGAAGTTGAACATGTGAAGTTAAATGATTTTTCCATCAAGTTCTGGAATTTATTTCATGTTTTAAAGAAAATGCTTTGGATCTTATAGTCTATTCTAGGACTCTACAGACTTCGTTGCCTCCTGTACAACTGACACAGGCTATGAATTAAACTCTAGTTTCTATTGCTTTATTTATTGTTAAATCTCAGCTTTGAGAGAAACTGTACATTTCACACAAAATGTACATCCTCCCAAGTCCTGTCAAGACAACATGTGAGTAATTTTGTGTTCCAGGACATCCAAAAAAACCCACAACATTGAATTCACACCTAATGCTAAAGATACATTGAGAGACTGGAAGATAGCATTGCCTTAGTTATAGTCTGTATACATTGGAACTTGGTGACTCAAATACACCCTCTTCCTGTGGTCAACTGTGAATCAGTGCAGAAGGACAACAGGAAAGCCACAAACCCATGGCTGAAGTGCAAAGAGTAAATTTATTTTAGTTATTTCTCCAACTGTGGGTATCCCCAAGCAATACTTGGGCAGAGGTGCACATGCAGGGACACAGGCAGTGTTAATCTTGATCCGTGCAAAAGTATACGTGGCCTGCTGTTTATGCCTGTTTATCAAGGGTTTATCACCATGCTGTGATCTTCACTGTTTTGATCTTCTCTTTACCAAGTGGGTAGCTCAGGTGTGTCTGATAAGAGTTTGGTAGAGTTGAAAGTACTCTGTTATCTATACAGAGATGTTATAATTGTGAAACACACAGAGGACAAACAGCAGTAGCTATAATAATATGTGTTTTTCCACAGTACTACTCTACAGATTTTGCATATTCCTAGCTGCAAAGTTGCTTGAACATATTTACAGTCCTCCTTGCGGGACTTCTGTCCTCATCACCTCTCCCCTCTTCCTTGCCAATCTTCCACTTTTAACCTGTTCCTCCCAACCTCAACCCATTTGGAAAATCTGGGTTTTGTTTGCTTCTCCAGTGACCTGTGTGTTACGGAGGTGCATTCTGAACTATCAAGTTAATTATTTAGGAGAGTCTTTGGTTAATGAAACAGCATACAGGTGTATATATATATATATACTGCATTTCCCTTATGCATATTTCATTTTCTTTAATCAAGAGGTCACTATTTACTGTCATTATCCTTCTTCCTCTGCGGATTATTAATAAAAAGTTTTGTAAGGTATATACTCTTCTATTTCTGTTTTTGGCCTTTTTTCCTTTTAAATAAAGTTAAAATCTCCTGCACAGCTGAGGCTCTTGCTAATAAATAGACCTGTCTTAATCCTTAGTCTTCCAGGGTTAGAAAGGTACATAAACAAAGATGGAAAACAGTGAATTGTGTGTTATAAGTGGAAGAAAATAAGGATTAAATCAGTAAGAGCTTGCTTCACAATAGATATGTCTGTCTACTTTGTGAACACCTTTATATCTTTTATATGAACAATTACAGTACATAATGAAAATGTGTACATATTGTACATTTCAGTTTACACATAGTAACAGCATGTGATGCTTAATGTATTCTATTTTGAGATAGGTATGTTTTCACAGTTGCAAATAGACATTTATCAGAGTTAACTAACTTTTATTAATGTATGGATTCTTGCTGAGTCCACGTGTATACTGGAAATTAGAGGGCAAAAAACAAATTTATCTTGCTTTGAACTTGACAGACATTCTAAGGTCAGAAAAAGGGTAGTAAGTTAACATTAACCAAAGCTATTTGGGAACCCATGTAATTCTGTTTGAGGGAACCCCACAAAAAATGATGTTTAGCTATAACCAACAGAAAAAAAAAAAAGATAGTATTCTTTATCTCTTAATTTAGAGGAGGAATAATCAGGTAATAAACA